ATTATCACAACTCGGATAATGACTTCAGAGCTCAGTGGAGGGGACCCGCCATCTGCAGCTCTCACTGTAACCTGGAAATCCCTCGTTTGCTCAAAATCCAGAGACTGCAGAGCGTACACGTTCCCGTTTTCGGAGTTTATGGAGATGGAGGAGGAGAAGGGGAGGTCACCGATGTTGCCAGGCAATGCCGAATACGTCACTTTGGCATTCTGCTCTGTGTCTACGTCAGCAGCATGGACAGTTCCAATCAACAGGCCCGGGTGGTTGTTCTCCTTCAGGGACATGACGTACGAACTTTCATTAAATAGAGGGGGGTTGTCATTAATATCCGATAGCTGAACTCGGATGATCCTCACTGAGGTGAGCCTCGGAGTCCCCCGGTCTGTGGCTGTGATGGTTATGTTATACTCAGGCACTTTCTCTCGGTCCAGGGGCTTTTGTGTAACAAGCTCGTAATAATCCTTCAGAGTCGATGTCAAAGCAAAAGGGACATTGTCCTGAATGGAGCAAAGCGTTCTGCCATTGTCCCCGGAGTCTCGGTCTCTCACACTGAACAGGGCCACCACCGTCTCAGGGGAGGAGTCCTCGGGTATGGTGCCGGTGAGGGATGTCACCGTCACTTCCGGGGGGTTATCATTCATGTCCTCGATCTGCACCAGGACTTTGCAGTGCGCAGATAAACCGCCGCCATCGGTGACCAGAACTTCTATTTCATACATTGCTGCGTCTTCAAAATCAATTATTCCCAAAACAGTGATTTCGCCAGTGAACTGATTTAGCTGAAATAACTCGAGGACTTTGTCAGACACCTGCCCGAATGAATAGGTGATTTCTGCATTTGAACCTTGATCCAAATCACTGGCTTCAACCTTAATGACCAAAGTGTCCCTCGGACTATTTTCCATTAACTGCACCTTGTACACCGACTGACTAAACTGCGGGAAGTTATCGTTGTTGTCCAGCACGTTAACGCGTATTAGCGCTGTGCTGGTTCTCTGTGGCAGGCCCCCATCGGCAGCTGTAAGAATCAGCATCAACTGCGCCTGCTTCTCCCGATCTAATTGTTTCTCTAATACCAGCTCCGCGTATTTACTGCCGTCCCCCCGGGAATGCACATCCAGACTGAAGTGCTCATTGGAGCTGATTGCATAACTCTGGACGCCGTTTGTTCCTATGTCTGAATCTTGGGCCCTTTCCAAGGGGAAGCGGGTGTTTATGGGGATCTGTTCCGGCATTTTTAAAAGAAATTCATTTTTAGAGAATTTAGGGTTATTGTCATTCACATCATCTATCTGCACCTCCATTCTGTACAGCAGTAGTGGATTTTCCAACACAATTTCGAATTGCAGCAAACACGGATCTCTTTGTCCGCACAGATCCTCACGGTCTATTTTCTCCTTTATTATCACATCCCCGGATCCTGTGTTCAGCTCAAAATATTGCTTGGTGCTTTTAGAAATCAGTCGGGCACTGCGACCAGACAATTTCCCTATATCCAATTTCAAATCCTTTGCAATATTAGCAAGTAGGGACCCGCTTTTCTTCTCTTCAGGCACAGAATAGCGGATCGTCTCACACGCCCCCAGGGACACACACAAACACAGAAAGAAAGACAGAACTTGCCTTTTCCTGGAGCGATTCTCCATTCCGCCAGCCATTCCCGGGTCAGATCTGAAACACGGGCCTCTCTGCAAAGCTGCTGCAGCCATTCATATGTTGTGCTAGAGGGGAAACGATTTGTCCTCCAATATTGACTTTATTTGTAATTATTCAGCCGCCCTTTCCCTGTAATCCTTTGTCAAGGGCACAGAGCCGTTGCCGTCAGGATCCAGATGTCCGAGTACAGCATCCACTGAGTGCTGACGGAGTCCGAAAGGCTGCATTTTCAGCACGGTCTTTGCTAATATCGCCACCTCGTGGCTCAGCTAAAATAAGACATGCTATGATGTTTACATTTTAAACTTACTATGTGCAGCTATTAACTGCACAGCAAAGTTTTCTCTATTAAGTACAAAACGTGGTTATAACATTTCACAGTAAACACTGTGCAATATTAAGGTAGATTATTACCGATTGGAGGAGATAGAGAGTTGCCAAATTATATAATAGCCAATTGAATTGTGATCCTTCCACACCACAGTTTCTTCTCTCACACCCCAATACTTTTATTTTTCACAGCTAGCTAAGTAAAGAAGTTACTACAAGTGGATCTCCTTTCCCATCGCTTCTCTTTCGTCACGAGGTTAGCGATATCCTGGAAATCTCTAAATCCTTGGCTTATTAGGGTGGCCAAGAGGAAAACTGGGAAACTACAGCCTAATAAACTAGAACTAACTAGTGATGGACCTACTTGTTAAGCAAACATCATATAGGTAAGTGTGGGGAAGGGATCCAGTCCTGGCTTCTACACAATCATTCGAAAAAAATGTGTCTCCCATGGCAATTGGAAGAAGCAGATCAGTGTATTTCTCCTGATTCTCTTGTCTTATATATTTTATGGCATTACAGGCCACAACAGAAACAAGTAGAACAACGAAATTGAAGCCAAAGAGATAACTTAAGTATATTCTCAATATCCCATCATATTCCTCTTCCGTAGTTATGTCACTGAATTGCATACGCGCATCTGAAAACCCATCCAACAGCAGTAAATTTAGCATCGCAGAAGTGGATTGGGGGCAAGGATCCATTGTCTTTAAGAATGACATCTAGTTTTTGCTTAAAGGAGTCTCGCTCCATAATTGGTATTGTGATTTTTCTTCAGCATTTTCAGTCCGACAGTGAAGAGACCTATATCAGTGGCCTTTAGCAATTGGCAGGAAAGACAAGAATTCTGACCAGAATCTCCATTCACAGTCACCACCTTGGTCACAAGGTAACCAGCTTTTGTTGCACTGCGAACCAGGTGATTAAATGGAGAAGTGCTGTTCTGAAGACGGTATAAAATAAAGGGGCCGTTCACATTTTAATTAAATACTAACAACCTGGACAATGACTTGCTGCCAGCAAAAATCCTATTGATGCCATCAGCTGCCACTATATCACCGTTATGCAGGTAATAGGGGTCTTTCACATCACTGTTGATGGGTTCATAAACTCCAGAAGATGTAAATGATGGCGATTTCATAGGATTTAAGTAAACATTGCTTCTTCCGTCTACAAGTACGTCCCACCGTGAAACCGCAGCCACTCCTGGCTACTCTCGTTGCAAAGGGTTTGATGGAAAAATAAAGCGCAGTTTACATTTCCCTAAATAGTTCTATTTTACTTTAACGTTTCCCTGATCTCCGTCATTTCACATTCGCGCAGGAGCCTGGCAACTCACACCTCAGAGATTCACCGTCTGAAAACACCACTGAAGAAGCAAGGGCAGACGCACATTCTTTGTAACATTTCAGATTCCATGGTGTTCTGCAGGGGGCTCTATCTAGGTCACATAGTTCCGCTGCTATTGAGTTCTTGACAAATACATAAACAATTACTTTTTTAATTTCCGTTGAGAAGCTTCAGCCTTGCTTTGCAAACATCATAGACTCTGCACAGAGACCAGTATCACAGTTAGATACATGTTTTTAGAGAGGAAAATAGCATAGGAGTACATAAAGGAAAGTACTTAAATACAAATATCTTAGCTTGAACATCATACAAGTGGAAAAGATGAATAAACTACAGAAAAAGATCCCTTGAAAACTATTTCTAGATATTTATGGAAGTAATCTTAGATCTTGTCTACAGGACAGAGTTTTGTGCAAAAAGTTATGCCACTTTAATTAAACGGTTGTTGCATGTCCACACTATGTTCCTTGTGTCAGCAGAGCACATCCACAGTAGCAGCTCTTGCATGGACACAGGGAGCTGTGCACTGTGGGTAGCAACTATCCCACTGTGCAATTGGCCTCAGGGTGCTTTGTGAAGGGTTTGCATTGCCCCATGGAGCAGGTACAGCGTTACAGGGTGCAGGTTTTGATCCCATCCTTCCATGGGTATCCTTTATTAGATTGTCAGCTCTTTTCAACTGAAGGTGTACATGGGAGGCGGGAGCAGGAGGAGAGTGTGTGACAGGGAGTGTGTGTGGGCATACTGTCTCTTAAAGTTCAGACAGCAGCCTGAGTAAACTCCGTGAAGAAGGAGGAGAGAGAGAGAACCCCCACCCACATCAGCCACCCGCCCTGCACAGCACAGCAGTTTCTCACCCTCTTTCCCCAGCAGCAACAGCCGGCTCTCCCCCGAGTGCCGCTCTGTTCCTACTACCAGAAAGAGCAGGATTCGACATTAATGGTTCTGTGATTGCCTTCTAAGAAATTTTCAGAGATGTAGAAACACACATATTCAAAAAAGGTATCAATTCAAATGGAGTAAAATAAGCACTCACCTCTCACCGATTCTTTCTCCCCTTTTAGCTTAGAGTTAATCTGAGAGTCAAGTAGGGCGCCTCCTGCAGCGATGTGGTCAACGGGTAAAGACGGTACCAGCGGCCTGAGAAATTTAAATTCGCTGGTACCAGACCCAGTTGTCAAGCAAACCTCATAACAATAAGATTGAGGCAGTGTCCCAGTGCCGCTCGTCTCCGCAGGATTTGTGGGGAAGTTGGGGTCACAATAAAAGTTCCTGGAGGATACAACATACTGCTCTCGGCACTGCCTTGTCTTGTACAGCCGGATGGCGACAATCGTTACCACAGAAACCAGAAAAAGGAATGAAATGAAAGACAAGGAAATGACTAGATACAGGGTTAACGTGTCCTGCTGCTCCTCCTCTTCTGGTACATCCAGTAACT